TTCGTATCTTTATATTTTATAAAACGTACATTTAATAATTACACAGGCATTCCGAGCGAGATGTAGGAAAGTTGCGGCTAACGAGATGTACCACAGGCTTCGTCGAAAGTGCAAATACAATCCCCGGGAATACAAATCGAGGCGGGCCTACGACCGGGTGATGAATCAGAAGGGTACCATTTATAGACGGAAGTTGATTGCCACCGGCAAGTTAAGTGATACCCTGAAGATGAACGCTGCGGAACGGTTGTTTGCCCTGCTTCCGGGGTACTTGCAGTGGGCGAAGATCAGGGTACTGGAGGACTGGAGGGAGAGAAATCGGAAGGCGAAGGACCGGTTGTACCAGTTGGTAAGCTCACATAATCACATCACCGTTCAATGCATGAATCAATTAAATTTTAGCAAAAACGACGACGAGAATTTGTTGAGCGGGCGTTGCGTTCGAGGGACACGGACCGCTTAATTATATGTTTCCTCAAAAGACCTCTTGTGCTGCAGAAAATATTCGCCGAAGGCGAAGATTTTCGACCGGCGATAAAGTTTCTTTTGGGGCAACGTATCACTAATTATGTGGTCCGGTTGGTGGAGGTGTTGCGGGAGAGTTCCACATTCCAAACGAGGGCTGAGGAATTCTTGCAGAAGGGGCGCCGGATGCCCAGTTTCGTACCGACCTTCGAAGCTGTGCATCGGGATAGTCCCTTTGTCGATGCGAGACATCCTCGGCTTCCGTTGATGTACCGTAAGCAACTGAACAGACTGATGTCTTCCAAGAAGGTGGTGGAGGCAATGGTCTGTGCAGTTCGGTGCAAGTGGAACTATCCTAAAATATTTCCACCCTCTATGACTGAGTAAGTATGACTGAGTAAGTACAACACCATAACTTACTTCATTATAACGAGGCCACTATTTTCAGGTAATTTGATTTCGTTGTGGCTCTTCTCTTCCTTCCTTTGTCTTAAATAATCGGTTTTTTACTTGCTGATTTGGTACATCCGCCTGGCAGCTGACAGATCTATAAATAGTCCATTTGTTATAAAAATACCTTAGAGAAGGAAAGATAAAGGAGGGGTAAGGGTACTCTTAAAATGTAAACAGCTGACGCCCTGAGGTACACTATATTGTCCACGAGTAAAATACATGCGGAGTTTATGCTTATGCAACTTAAAGTACAGGGAACGCTGCTGTAAACGCCCCGATCGGTTGTTCGATATTTCGTAATGAAATTTGCAAAAAGAATACGCTGCAGTGTAGTTTAAGTTGCTTATATAAACAATCAAAAGATCCCACTCCAAAGTTTGCCTATGAAATTAGATGCATTACCGAAGATCGGAAGTTTGACGTTTGTGAATGTCAAATCATAAGGTGTTTTATGAGTGAAATAGGTTATTGTCATATAGGTTAGTCGTACGGGAAATAATTTTTTAAAAAAAAGGAAGTGTTTTTATTGTGGGAGGCTGTCGATGATTTTTCTTAACGTTTCTCGTTGTTTTTTGCCGGGTTTTACAAAAGACGGTATCGGTTCTGCGCGATTAAATACTTTCACAAAGTGTTCGGCAATTTTGAATCTCCCCCTGCCCTTTAGCTCCACAATGTAATTTATGTGGCGAGTTACTCTGACCACGTCCACACCCTCGCCCAGCCAATAGCCCATGAATTTGGCTTTCGCCCAAACCAAGTCCCCTACATTTATGGGCGGTGGAACGGTGGCCAGAGGATTGACAGGGTCGGTAGCTGATGGTGAGGGCGAAGATGATGAGGAGGAAGATGAGGGCGGAGAGTGTCGGATCGGCGACGGCGATGCGGGGTTCGTCACGATGTCGTCCCACCCGGCTTGTGCGCCCGCGTTTGATGGACCAGCAACAGCTGCATCGATCGCTGCCCGTTTGTTCATCTGCCTTGAACGTGGCCTACTTCCGTCCGCACAGCGATGGACCTCAATAGCGACCGATGTAGGTGCAGGTAAGACCGTGGGCTCCACCGCTGTGTTTTGACTTTCATTTTCCATGTTCAATGCAGATGAAGGACCGACAACATCATCAATCACCGCCGTTGCTGTGTCCTCAACACCTGCCGTCGACACATCCGTCGAGGACGACTCCTGGGACGACCTTTCTCGCATCGCTTTTCTCCCCCTTTTTTGCCTTTGTGGCCTTTTTTGGTACACTTTTGGCTTTATCTCGTACCAAAAAGGGGGAAAAAGTCGGAGCGCTTGCCCCAGCAACTCTTTTGCCTCTTCTTCGGAGCCGGCTTCGGCCACAAAATCGTTTACTTCGCTTTTCTGCAGCAATGTTTTCAATATTTCGACTGCTTCTGTTGGAGGGGGGGCACTTAATTCAAAAATCGCTTGAATTATGTATTCCATTTTAGATTTGCTGTACCCGCCTTTAGCCGTTCGCTGTTTAACTCCCTCCAACGCAGCCGAGTGGTCCAGTAAATGTGCAAGGGCCGCAACAGGGGATAGGGAAATGACGTTTTTAGTTTTTAGATCGTCGAAATTGTGTCGTATAAATTCTTCTAATTTGACCTTCGTATCCCTTGTTGCGTAACCCTTGTAAAATTCTTTGCATATCTGGTTGATATTAATTTCGGCCGCTGTTTCATACTGCCGTATTATGTTTTTCAAAATTTGTAGCCGCACCGGTCTGAAGAAGAGGCTCTAAAATAAAGTAACGATTTGTATTTGTCTGTTTGTCTGTATGTCGTTCGTTTTGTACAATTAATTATAACAGGCGATCCGACAGGTCGCCTTTGGAATTTTTCTTTAATTTTAATTTGAACTTCCAAAGGCCACTCGATGGACGTTATAGATATTATAGTTTGTATAGTTACTTACATTAATTGCTTCCATGCTTCCTAAAATAATGATGTATATTTAATTAATTAAATTAAATGTAAAAATTAAATAAAAATTAAAGTTTTGAAAAATGTAATAAAAAAAAAATAAAAGTTTCGTAGAATAATATAGCTGATATAAACGTGTACTCAAAGAGATTTGGAAAGGAATGAAAACATAAGGTGAAATATTTGCATATTTGATATCAGTTGTTTGTCAATCGAACCAAATTTTAATTTTGATGGATTATCTGAACTTATCCCAGAGAAGGAGCGCGTAATTTTTGAAGGGGACCCGGTTGATAAATAACCGAACGAGGGAGTTTTAAAGGGGGTCATGTCAAAAATTTTGAGTTTTTTTTGAATTTTGAGTGCCTAAATGGCCTCGTGGCCCAAAAGTAAGGCCGAATTTGGATTCAGAGCACCCCTATTACTAATACATATAAACCAAAAAAAATTTCAAGTCGATATCTCGATAAATAAAAAAGTTGCATTTTTTGACTTTTTCCTACGTCCCGGCATAGAAAAATTGGATTCCTCGCACCCGATTTAGTATAAGAACGATATTTCTTTCGATTCTGAGAGATTGACCGAAACCCGATACTTTTGATGGTAACTTAACCACATCCAAGTTTATTAATATAACTGAAATCTAACCTCACATAAGAAATGACGATGCAACAAAACGTTCAAAGTTGGGCATTTTTAGAATGAAGGTAGGCCATAAATAAAACGCATTTCTTAATAATATAAGAAGTCTTTATTTTTTGTCGGTCTCGTCTGTCGTTTTGGTCGCGTCGAAGTCTGGTCGGGTATTGGTGGCGATGGGGGCGAAGCTGGCGGTGCGGAAAGGTCGGGTGTTGGTGGCGGTTGGGGCGATGGGGAAGATGAGGAAGAGGAAGAAGAAACTGGGGTTGGAAGTCGAGGAATGTCGAGGAATTGCAGGAGGGAGTCTTGGGCCAAACCGTACAGTCCGTCGTCGTATACCGTTGTCTGTACGGCGTCGAAGGTCAGTTTGAACTGCCCTCGACGTCGCAGTCGCTGGAATGCGGCGACGGACTGTTCGGAGTACTGTTGGGGTCCGCGCAGCATCTCTTCCATCAACCCACGAAGCACTGCTACGCTCGGCCCACCTTTCGAATTCGGCAGCAACTCTATGTCGAGCCCGACGTGGAAGGCGACATAACAAAAGGCAGCCAGAGGGGACGCTACGTACATATCCATCTTCAGCCTTTCGAAGTGGTGACGGATGACGTCTTCAAGTTTTCGAGCTTGCTGAAGACAGACATAGCCACGCCAGTATCCTCTCCGCACTGCCTCGAAGTCTACGTCCTCCACGCGGTGGTAGGAGCGCAGCAGGTGCTGAAGTTTATTTAACTTCAGGGGTTGGAAGAAAATATCCTGTATTTATTCGTATTTAGTTTTTGTTAATTTATTAATTTCTTAAGTACTTACAGGAAGTTCCATTATAAAAATAAAGTGTACTTGTATAGGGTTACTTTACTTATGAGTAGCAGTAGGGTAAAAAAAAAATGTAGTGGCAATAGTTTTGTTGTTGTAGGCAACTAGATGCACATTCTTGTAGTTGGAGTTGCCTATACCTATCTAGACCTTGGTGACAGTAAGTTGTTTTTTGACATGACCCCCTTTAAAACTCCCTCGTTCGGTTATTTATCAACCGATCGAGCTCGTTGAGGGATCTTTGGAAAGCTAAAGGATCAGAGAATCCGCCACAATTTGAGCCCAGTGGGTCGAAGGGTTACGTCACAGCAGCGGACCAAAGTTAGGGTGGATTTTCTCCGGAACCGGATGTCCGATCTTTTTTTTCTTTAGGTCGCTTAATTCGCAATCCTACAAGTCAAACGAGTACGAGTACTTAAGTCAAACTGATAACCAAAGCGAAGCACGAAACGGAATCGATATGAACAACGCAGAAATGTACCTTTTAATACCTATCGAGTTGCATTTTACAGTAAATCGTTGCTATTAGACCAATGAACTTTGTGTGTCCGCATTGCAAAGCTACTGAAGCCCCGGGATTATGTTGCAGCAGTGGCCAAGTGAAATTGACGCCATCGGAAATGGGCCAGATTTTATACATTTTTTGACTCATATCCAGAAATACAGAATTGCTTTCAAATTACGGCATTTGGCGCAGCAAAAAAGAGGTACGTTGGTAGCTCTGAATCGCCAAAAATAGAAGTGAGTGCGTTTATTTTTTATTATTTTGGGGAGATTTTGGGGCAAGTGTGTCAAAATCTCTTTTCCGGTTAAAGGTCTATTCGCATTTTACGGAACCTCAACGTCACGTCACGGACCGGCAACGTCACCTAAATCTTGCTGCCAATTCACATTTTACGTCAATAGTTTCTTAGGATGGTTGCGATTGGATTTTTTATTCTGGACCATCTGTTTTTATCGTGCTCAGATTAAATAGGAGAACATTAGCATCAGCGTGACGTCAAAGAAATGTTAGAAACTTATCTCGACGGTTCGTGACGTTGACGGTGCGTTCCGTTACGTTATATGTGAATGTTATCATAAGAAATATTTATATATATATATATATATATATATATATATATATATATATCTCCCACACAGAGAATTGGTCAAACGGGCAGTTTTGGATGCTTATTTAAAATTTCCTTATGGAAAATTTCAAAATGTCGCATAGGTTCGACGTAAAATTCAAAATAACTAAAAATGGTCATTTCCTTGAAATGTCTTATATCATCGAAAGTATAAGAGATATAAAAAAAAGTATAAAAGTGACTGTCTTTGATACGCTTAATTTAGAATTGATGTCAAAAAAATTCAAGATGGCCACTTTTCGTGCGTGCGTGCTTATATATATATATATATATACAGGGTGACAATTTGAAAACTTACCACCCCCCCATATCTTAGTAAATAAACGAGATATTTAAAAAATCAAAATCCGTTTTGGTAATTCGGAGGGGGAATCACAATGACCTAGTTGGCGACGCACCCCTTCACACCCCCTGCGCCCTAGCCTCCCCAACTTTTAAATCTTAAATAGGGACTCCCCATGTTTGATACGTCATTGGAAAGCTCTGAAACAATGCTTTCCAACCATACCAAATAGCATTACATTTAGGTCAGTAATTATCGTGCAAATCAAAAAATAAACATGGAAAATCGTATTTAACTTGAATTTCCAAAGCCGACTCGACAGCAACTCATTTTTGATCGCCAGTTATAATCTATTCTCAAACTCTTGTCGAACCTTTTCAAATGTTGGTTTTGCAATATTTCGACATTCTTGAATTATTCTCTGTCTTAGTTCGTCTATGTTCGCCGGTTGCGTTTTAAATACGACAGATTTCAAATGTATCATATTAGTTTATTTTTTGATTTGCACGATAATTACTAACCTAAATGTAATGCTATTTGGTATGGTTGGAAAGCATTTTTTCAGAGCTTTCCAACGACGTATCACACATGGGGGGTCACTATTTAAGATTTAAAAGTTGGGGTGGCTGGGGCGCAGGGGGTTGGAGGGGGTGCGTCGCCAACTATGTCATTGTGATTCCCCCTCCGAATTACCGAAACGGATTTTGATTTTTTTAAATATCTCGTTTATTTACTAAGATATGGGGGGTGGTAAGTTTTCAAATTGTCACCCTGTATATATATCAAGGTAGAGAAGTACAGTATTATTGCCTGAGCAACGAGGCACGTGGCGCAGTGGATGCGCTCACCGATGCTATTCGGGAGGTTGTGGGTTCGAATCCCGCTGCCGACTGCTCTGTCTGGGGTTTTGTCAGATGGTTTTCCTCAGACATACGTAGCTTCGCATAATGCTAGCATTATGTTGAAATCTACGAGGCGAATGCTGGAGCAGTACTCTCCCCCTCAGCACCCTAACTCCGTTTCTTCCGTTCCCATCCCTAACTTTACCCATCCTTACAATCCCGTTCTCTGGCTGAAGAGGGCCAGGAAGCCCTGAGCAGCCCGCCTCCGGTATCCCTGTAGTCAGAGCCTTTTTCATTGCCTGAGCACCAAGATTACATCTCGAGGCGCTTGCGCCGAAGGGTGTAAGGTGCGAAGGCAATAATAGACTTCTCTACTGTGGTATATATACTATTTTTTTCGTACTTCCGAGACTAAAGTGACAACTTCACTCCATTATGACAAGGACTGAAGTGTCACTTTTTGTCCCGCCGGGATTAAATTTTACGAAAATCCCGGAAGGATGAAATTACTAGCAAGGCAATTTCAGTAGGTTGTTCCACATTTTGTATGCGGCACTACTTCTTAAACGCATCGTACTGCTGCTCATATAGTTTTTTGGATTTCGGTGGTATCAATTCTTTACCTACTTTGGCTGCTTTTTATCAATATCAAATACACCTTTGTCACCCACCACCAAAATTATGACACTAGCAATGACAGTTCCTATGGTAACTTGTTGAGCAGCGATTTTTTGAAAGAAAGCGTTCTTGAACTCCATACATATTAAGTGTTTCAGTTTAGGAAGTACGAAAAATATCGTATATACCTTGCGACTGAAGTAGTGGTCTTAATCCCTCAGGTAAATTATATATATATTTACCTTCGGGATTAAAAGTACTACTTCAGTCCCGCGGTATATAATATACTATTTCACTACTAGCACTTGAAGTCCTCTAAATTAACATATTATACTGATAAGAAAGTGAACGGTTGGACAGAATTTTTTGTTTATTAATTTAAGATGTCAATCAAGTACGTGGAAGTAGCAGTCAAGAAGGCCGTAAATGTCATTGAGACATTTTCAAAGAGTAATTTCGTTCGAATTTTTTCAAAATGTGAAAATTGTAGGTATGTAATTCCTCTGGAAATGGCGGATGGTGGCAATTATTCATTTTAGAGAACTTGTCTAATCGTTTATTGAGCGAAATTTGGGGTTGTGTTTTCTAAAAGTGACAGCGTGATAGTTCTCATTATTGACTACTAGTTAATAATGTCCACATTATTAACCACTTTGAACAAATGCGGAGAAAGCCTACTTTACAAGTGGAAAATAGGTTAATAATCATGTCATCAGACGCTAGTAGTGAAAAAACAATATTTTGACGTGACGTGACGTTGACGTTCCGTAAAATGCGAATCGACCTTTAAACGGTTGAACGGGTTTAAACCAAATTTGCTACACATGTTGTTAGACATAAAAGGGCAGAATCGCGCAGGTGGGGCGGGTGGTACCTGTGCTAACCACAGCAAATTTTTTGTTATTATTTATTCCAGTCCGAATTGAGTAGGTATTCATAGCTAAGCAAGAGGACAACGTCCGCCGAGTCGGCTAGTGGATTTATATATCGTCGGCTTAATCCGCAAACGTCTTAAGTCCATTTATGACAACTTTACAGGAGAGCAAAAAAACTTTTTAAAACTTACACATTGACAGATTCGGATCTTCACTTTCTATACTTTCAGTTAATTCACATTTGTGCAGCATCAGGAGCCATTTTGTAGACAAAAAAATGTTTAATCAAAATTTAATTGGACTTAAAAGCATTTCTCATCAATATATTTAAACAGCAAGTGACTTACAACATTTTCTTTGAATGTTTTATTTAAATCTTTAACAATTAAAGTATTTAAAATAAACAGCGTTTGTTACTAAAAGAAATGAAAAACTTTGGTTTGTAAAACAAAAGAACTAAAATGACAAATATTTACATTATGTATAGGTACCTACTTAAATTATTTGTATGCAAGGGCGTCATAAAAACCATGATAATGATTATCCAGACTCTTCTTTAAGATCTGTAGATGTTCATATTTTTCCTTTTTAATCGGTATTGGGCCTTTATATAGTTGTGGAAGGTTTTCTATGGCAACTGCCATTGACACAGACTTAGAAGATCCACGTTTGCCGTTATTTAAGTTTTCGTATTCTTGTCCATGTCTTAAAGTGTAAAACAACTGGCCATCTGGTAGGTAACGAAGCCCTCTTATATCGGTTATAAGGTAACTGCGGGGAATAAGGCCCACCTAATTTATTTTAATTTTTATTAAAAAATTGAAACACATTTTAACATAAATTTTTTTTTCTAAGTAAGGTACTACTATAGAGGTAACTAAAAATTCCATTTTGGTAATTTAAATGAAAAAAGAGCACAGTCTGCGAATTTTTTTTTAAACCACTGTACTTGGGCCATATTACCATACATAGCAGATAATAAAGCCCTTCTATTTCTCCTCACAAAACGCACATACAAAGGGCTCATCATCGTCTTCAGTTAATCCAACACATTCTTCCTGGAACCATAACTTGCATTCCGTACATTGCCTCATATCAGCAACAAAATTTTTGTGGCATCCAGCACATAACCAATTCTCTTTGTTGATGCGACCTTTGGAAGATGATGGCTGGGGCTCTGCAGAAGAGGTCTTTGCATGCGTTTTTTTTGCAAGTTGAGGTTGACCTTGAACATTAGTGGTATCTTTGAAAAGTTTTTTGGTTACCTCTAAAGCTTTGTAATTTAAAGCTTTTTTCCGAATTGGTGCGTTAGGTTTTATTTTTACTTCAGGAGTCACCAGCACTTCTGAAAAAGAGTTGTTTGCTTTTTTAGTTTCGTCTCTTAAACTAGCAAGGGGCACGTCGTCTTCTGGACTTGAGTTATCGTTGTTCTCGTCCTCAATATTTCTTAATGTTGCTAAACTTGGTGCAAACGCATACTCTGCTATTGCATCAATGTTTAGGGGATAAATCCCGGTTGCTCTAAACCCGTTGGTTATATTGGCGATGGTCATGCACTTTCCCCATACTGGGGTGAAGATGTCTGAAAATCTTTCCTTGTTTAATGTCCGTGTTGGATGGTGTTCCCAATATCGTAAAAGCTCTTCGTCCCAATGATGTTCGAAGGAACGAAAAACAGCCTTATCCATCATCGGCTGTAATTCGTGCGTCGTGTTACTTGGGAGGCACATCAAATGAATTCCTAACTCCTCAGCTCTTTCTGCTATCGAAATGTCCAAATGACAGGAAGCACCGTCAAATATTAAAACAACTGGAGGGGCAGACATGTATTTCGCAAAATGTTCTAGCCATTTGACGAAGACTTCTTGAATCATGCTTCCCTTTGGAGTCATGTGGACCACGGAGCCACCTGGCAGGCCATCCTCAAATGTCGGTTTTAGCCTTTTGCCCTTAAAAAGAATCATGGGAGGTATCACTTGACCCAAGGCATTGGCGCATCCTACAATGGAGACATTTTCTGCGTGTTCGTGAGCTACTAAATGAACCCTTTTTGCTCCTTTTCGGGCAAGAACTCGTTGCTGGTGGTGCAGATTCAGACGACATCCTTTCTCATCCATGTTGTAGATTTTTTCTGGTTTGTTTTTCACGCCAATCCTTTCCAAGAGATTATTCAATTTGTTGAAGTAATCCTGTACTATGGGTTTGTTTAGCTTTTGGGCTCTGGCGGGATTCATGTTTTGGGCTCGGCGAAGGGAAATAGCTGTGTTTCTTTTAAGAAAGGCTCTGTACCACTCCCTTCCGGCCAATTTATGGGTGGCACTGAAAGGGTTTGGAATTTTTTTTTTATCGACAAATGCAAACACACATCTGCGAATAGTTTTTGGCGTAAGTGGAAAACCCCGTTCCGCAAACCGAATTATCTTAGCTTCTAATTCGCTTTCTAATTCCGAATTCAAAATAGGGTGCCTGCCCAGCTTTCTTTTGGAAATGCCAGATTTAATATGCGCTCTTAACGTTCGACGAGGTATTCCGCAATGATTTTCCACATATCTTTGCGACTTTCCTTGTTTTATGAGATTTAGGGCTTCCTCCATCATTTCTTCATCCCAGTTTGCTCGCATACCCCGATTTTTTTTCCCCATTGTCCTACAAAGTAAAAAATATAATTGCTTTAAACGTATCGGGTAATATGGCCCACCAGGCAGGTAATAAGGCCCACAAGAAATTTAGTGGGCCTTATTACCTGTTGCGCATGGTTTTGTCGGCATTTGACAGCGCGGGGTACAAGGCCGAGACCACGGACCATAAGAAGCAATATTGATCATTATTCTTTACATTAATAATTGCTCTTTTAAGAGCGAGAAAACGAGGTAATTTGATATACGAGGAAAACTTTCCTGCCCTAATGGGTACGTATTTATTGATGTTCACCTTTAAATAGAGAATTTGGTTTAATGCCCACCCAGAATCACATTCTTCGAATGATCCAAGCTTTTTTTGCAATTTTTCAATCACTTCAAACTCGTACCACTCTCTCAGATTCGTCCCAATATCTATGACGGAGTTTCTAGTTGCAAAAGTTTTTAAATCGACATTAAGGTTTTGAGGATTAATAAAATCGCAAGCCAGTACCACGTTAACTTTTAACATCGATCTCTTCAATAGCTCACGCAATTTTCTTAGAACACTGTCATAGGCACGATGTAAAAATATTAAAGGATCCTTGTAACCCAAATTGACAATAATCCCTACCACGAAAACCTGAGGTTAGTGTATACCATACGAGATTAGGGAAATGGGAGGTAGTAGCACCATCATCGGTGGCACCAATTCCACAACCCCCTTTTTGAGAAACACTTCGTAATTTATGCTGTAATAGAGCCAAATAGAATTTGAGTATCCCTAAATTAGCTTCAAGCCTAATTGGATTTTCAATGGGGCTATCTAAATGAATCCTATTGGTAATTGCGTTTTCTAGTATACGTATATTATTACGTAAGATCGAAAGGTGTTTGCAGATCTCCGATTTGCTTTTTATTAATTTGACGGCGTCTCGAGTCAGTTGAACTATGTCACTGCTAAGGGACGCAGCAGACGTAGTCGAAACTGTCGACATACTTACACAAAAAATTATCCAAGTACTTAAAAATATTATTAAGTTGTATTCGCGATCACCGATACTGCAGGGAATTGCTTGTGAACACCAACAACAAGCAATGTATTCCACACAAATCCTGAGACGCAATTATTCGATTTACGACAAAACGATTCCTTTTATATACAGTAGGTGCTCTTGATGAAGGGCAAAGGCAAGAGGTCAAACAACCTGAATAAATGCTACGTTGCATTTAGTTATCTTTTCCGGAGAACATACGCGCTATCTCTCTCATTCCCAAGAGTTCTGCAAACGTTAGCAAAAATTTTATAATAAATACTAGAAACATTAGAGCGCATTTTAATCAGTTACAACGCGAACTCCGAAATGGATACTGCTCGGAAAATGCCTAAGTTATCGCTATCCATGAAAAAGAAACTGCCGCCGGCTTCGAAAAGTGTGCCACCAAAGAGAGTGAACATAATCAGTGATGTGACTGTATTGCCAAGAAAAGATCCGAGGTTGGCATCGCATCCAAAACCGCCACCGCCTGCACTCGTCAAAATTGTGGATAATGGGACCATACCGCCACCGCCCCCGTTGCTAGATGACCAATATTCCATCATTACAATTAACTCGGACGACGAGATTGGAGGGGCACAAGTAACTAAATTACGGTAAATATTCCCCTTTTTATTATGTTACTTAATTACTATCAAAAAAGTTTCCGTCTCTCTCTCTCTCTCTCTCTCTCTCTCTCGTGCTAATATTACATGTTTGCTTATAGTACGGAACCAGTGGTGGAGGATCAATTGGCTAAGCTGTTGGAGGAGCTAGAAGGTGGTACCCAGCCGACACAAACCAGGTAAATTTTATTTCTAATTTAAACAGAGAACATGTTTGTAAGTGATTGATTTCGTTACAGGATGTATGCGCCGTTAATAAGGTCTCCATCGCCTCCAACAGCAGAAGCCGCCCCCAACGTGGCAAAAATCAGTGAATAGTAAGTTAACCAAAATCTTTGTCAAATAGAATTATAATACCGCTTCTCTCTCTCTCTGCAGCACCACTACGATGAGGATTATAAAAAGTCCAGGGGGAAAAAGCCTGCAAAATATGATGCAGGTCTATGGCGTAGGCACCGCTCAATACCCGCAGGCTGATGACTGGGCCATGGGGGGGTCACCAGCAACTCCAAGGCAAGTGGCCGAAGCGACATATGCCCGTCTGCTGAAGCTGGTACCAGTGTACGAGGCCAAAGGCATAAGTGCTAGAAACCGCGTGGAGCAGTTGGTTTCGGAACTGGAAGCAGCAAGATAAAGAGCATTCAAAACGTCGGTGTTCTTAAAATTCGAATTTCGGCGGTTTATTTTCACAATAAAATATTTTGGTGATGGAATTCGGAAAGTTGATGTTAACGGGCATCGAATGATATAAACAGTAAGTGCAATATGTGACGAATTCCATCCAAAAAGAGTAATTACAGTTAGGGACCTACGCTTGCATGTGTGCGAAAAAAATGGATAAATTATTCCGCTTTTTTTCATATAGGTACGTACTTATTTTCCGCTATTAAATTGGGAATTGCAATTAAAATGTAGGTACATATTGTTTCCAAATTTGTAGCTCTTATTAGATTTCGCGCGAGATTGCAGGTTCATTTACCATAAGAATTTTTCAACGTTCTTGGAACTCGGAAGACTTCCTCATTCTAATGAAAAATGCTTTTTATATTCACATCGTGTATTTAGCGAAATTAGTTTTAAACAAACGATAACTTTAAAGATTTTATTTCTGGTACCAAATATTTGAACTAATTTAATAATGAAGCGATCAATATACGGTCGATACTGTTTCGTACAGCTGTACAGTAGCAGAAATTGTAACAAGCAAAACTATTTCCTATTACGTTGCCATTTCGTTTTCGGTGCTCTTATTTCGCGAATTGCGATTCCAAATTAATAATTATGTTACGTTACATTGTTAATCTAGAATGAGTGATCGATTACATGTTTTGCGAAAATGCTCCCCTTCAAAAATAAGTGTTGCTTTCATATATGTACTTATTTTCTGCTAATTGATAAAATGAGAATGGCATTATTACCTCTGAAGGTATTTTTTTTCCCGATTTGCAGGTGATTAGTTCTATTCTTGGAATCTCGCGCGCTCGTGTTCAGTAACCTCTAATCGCAAAAAGAATTTCTACTTTCCTGGGAACTTTGTCGACTTCCTTATTCTACTAAAAGTGTAGTTTTAATGTTGACATGGCGTATTTCGCGAAATCAGTCTATCGGCATTATAAAGTTTTGAACGAATGGCAAACTTTTGGTTAGCATTTTGGATTAATGATTTTAGGTATAATTAATGGACTCTCATTAAATTTACCAAATTTTTAAAGGCGCGCGCACACACACGCAGCCCCTCATTAAATAATCGAGCAATCAAAACGATCGATAAGCGATCGATTACTTTAGAAAAATTTCACGCAGGTACAAAAATTGTAAGAATAATGCAAATACGGTGCAGTACACTCTTATTAATGGAGTTGCCATTGAAAGAACTGTTTTCAACGCATTTCCAGCACTTCTAAACCTCCCATTTCGTTTCTTATAAACGAATAATATTGATTATACTCAGAGTGCAGTCGATAAATAATCGATACCTCCAAACATTCCCTCTGCTGAGTTGAGAAATGTACCTAGGTGCTAAAGAGAAATTCTAAGAATAAAACCATTTCAACGCTGCCGACCACTCTTTATTAATTACTTTATAATACAAAAATATACGAGGAAAACCTGCCCCATTTGCTGGATTCCTCCTCGGCCACCTGCTAACTCAGTTGGACAGATTTTAGTTTGCGCTGCACTCCAAAAACTTCCAAATCCCATTTAAGCTTTTTTATTTCTCCCAGCAAATTTTCTAGTCGTTTTCGCCTCTCATGTGCGTTCAGTGTTATAACTGATGTATGTCTTTTTATAATAATTGCTTTTGTCATCTTGCTCGTCGTTCGAATGAAGTAAAATTCATCCAGACGAGCACTTTATATATGTTCATTAGCCAAACTACGAACCTATCCTGTTAACAAACCTTAACACTTAATGGTCAAAAGCCCATTAGTTAAGTGCAATAATCTTTAAACCACAATAAAGGTCAATGCCATATTGAGGTTAATACACTTTAAGCAGCACGAGTTTAAACGACAAGACACGAAGGTTAATACACTTTAAGCACAAGTTTACCGACCCGAAACGAAGGCAATGCCCTTTTAGTAACGTCAAGGTCACATTTAGAAACGGCTATACCATACTACTAATGACGATGACGTAGTATCGTCCTCTCGCACTAAGTAGTTACATTGCGGTGAATTATCTGGGCTCACACTACAATGCTCATTAAAGTAAACAGGTGGCAAGGTTTGATCTAAAATATAACAAATGATATTTGTCAATAAATGTTACTATTACAAGTTACCTTCATTATTATTGTAACACGAACTACGATTTGAGTTAATATTTCGTAGAAATTTATCGACACCTGCTATTTCCGGGGGGTGATCATCATCTGTTAATTCCCTCTCCTCACTGGAATCACGAATCTTCGACGTAGGCTTTCGTTTGCGTTTGCCTGTCTGTTCCGCTTCTTGATCCGTTTGAATATCGGAGGAGTATTCGGCTCTCTTTATCTTTTGTACAGCCTTGACATAATTTTCTAAAAATGTGTTTCTGCTGTTATTCATAAAGTTTACAAAAAATAACATTTACCTTCATAGAAAAAAAACCGCGAAATGGAATACTGCTCCCACGTATTTTCGCAAGGTTGTTGACCTTTTTTTGCGGACTTGTCAATGAGGTACTGCTGTTTATGTGGTGGCCACCAAGTATGTTTCTTACGTGGTGTTATCCAAGTTTCAGGTATTACTGCTAGTTCACCACCATCACTTTCAATAAATTGTACACCCACAAACATTTTTCAAATAAGGAGATATATCAGATATGCATTGGCGTCTGCATTAACCACCTTAACGATATAGCGCATGCGCCATGTACGGATGTAGAAAGTACAACGCGCAATCGCAAATGACCGGGAAGTTTAAATTTACGAGGAAGCTTAAGTATATCTAGTTTAATACGTAAACTAAAAACTTCAATTTCATGACTTCGTGTCTAACTAAAACGACAAACATTTTCCTGTTCAATCTATGCTATAACGTGATTACGAATTATATATTATTTAAAAAAATTATACATAGGTTATGCATTTTTTTCCTTGATCATAACATTCATAACCAGTGTAAAATAATACGTGTATCAGTATAATTATACCAATAAAATGAAAATTTGATTATATAATTATATACATATATATCATTATTTGAGTCTTCAAAGTATATAAGGTAGAAAGATCACAAATAATTAACGTGTTTACGACGTCTTGGAATGACGTCCACAATTGGAAAAAATATGACGTGATCATCACGTTACTTTTGTAACGTCGACGAAAGGTGACCACAAATACACGTCTTTATGACGTTATTCACGACATCTCTGCTGGCTGGGTATTAGATATGCAGTAGCATAAGGCGTGTTTTCACAAAACTTGATTGCAGCATTTTTTTTTGTCTGAACCAGTCAGTTATAATTTAAGCCTAGTATCGACAGTGCGAGGCTGCTCGCAGCGAATGCCTCACGCCATCTGCCTCAGGGTGAGGCATACGCTCTTCAGCTAGTTTGTAACCACAAATGCTCAGTGCGAGCACGCGAACCACCCACATTCGTAGTGAAGGCAGTCTATACAAGTCGTTACAATGTCTTTGTTGTTAAGAAATGTGCAAGTTACTGCCGCTGCTTTTATTGTGATGGCGACGATTATTATTAGAAAAAAACAACGGAAAAGGCGACGTAAGCCCCGTTGGTGGGTCAAAAAAGTTTATCGAAATCGGTTGGAATATGGGAACAGACTCCTAGAAGACGTGAGGTTCGAAGAAGACGTGACAAATTTCTTGCGAATGTCCAAGCAAGATTTTGAACATTTAGTTACATTGGTAGAGCCTGCCGTGAAAAAACGTGAGACGTACATGCGAAGTGCTATTACCGTCAAGGAAAGATTAGCTCTTACTCTGAGATTCCTAGCAACTGGAGATTCATTTACAAGTTTGCAATACCTCTTTCGCATATCCAAACAACGAATATCTGTGATTGTTCCAGAAGTATGTGATGCACTTATTGAAGCCCTAAGGGACTACATAAAGGTAAGAAAACAATTTACTTCAAAAAATCAATATATTGTAATGTTAAACAATGTAGCTTGCATATAACAACATGTCATGTTATTACATTTCTTCAGGATTTAAAATTTCAGGATTTATGTTAGTCAAGTAGGTTACTAAGGTGTCTTCTTGTTGTGGAGGCCTTGAATCAAGGTCCTGAACAAGTATACATTGGGAATTTGAAGGAGTAGGAGTTGGAGGGTAACTATCTCGAGACGAAGTCGGTGTAGTGAAATTTGAACTGTAGTACCCAGCAGTGTTACGGACGTTGTGATTGGGGGTAAATTCTCCGATATCTGCTCTGAACAACACATCTAATATTGCCCTCTTCACATGAGGAAGAGTGTTGCTGTCATATTTCCTGAGTTCACTTGCAACATGCATTCCAAACGTTTCATAGTGGTCAGTAGGAGTAGCCGATGTCTTTTTCAAAATGGAGTATGCATCAATTAGCATTTGATTTTGTGCAGTATCAGCAGCATCATTGCGACGTTGTCTTTTCCTACCTTGGTACATGTTAGAAGTAGGCACCGTCGCTGTACTCGTAGACACCGCCGTAGCAGTTGTAGACGCCATCGTTGTATTAGTAGACTCCGGTGGTTCATCTTCGACCGTTGTGGGTTCATCGACAATAGATTCATCATTGTTTGATTCTTCTCGAGTTTCCTCAGGATCCCTTTGCGTATTAGCCTGTCAACAAAATAAACATTACAAATACAATGTTTGATAGGGTGCTCTTTCATAAGAGATTTATAATGGAGGCCTAAAATTCCAAGACTTGCCAAATGAAATTTTGAATCCTGTAAAATTGTTTTTTATAAATACTACTCACTAGTCGGCGTTCCTTAGCTTTTAAATTAATGATGTGTCTTTTATTTTAGCTACCCTCTTCTAATGAGGAATGGTTAGCTGTGGCAAAGGAATTCGAAGAGAAGTGGAACTTCCCTCATGTAATAGGTGCAATGGACGGGAAACATGTCCAGCTTCAAGCACCATGGAACAGTGGCACTGAGTATTATAATTACAAAGGTTTTTTTAGTATTGTGCTCTTTGCATTAGTTGACGCCAACTACAATTTTTTGTATGTTAATGTTGGCTGCCCTGGTAGATTTTCAGATGGAGGCATTTTCAAAAATACGACATTGTACAACAAATTAGAAAACAAGGAACTGAACATACCAAACCCAAAAGCATTACAAATTCCTTACAGTATTAAGGTACCTTATATTATATTAGGTGATCAAGCATTTGAGTTAAATGGATATACTATGACACCATTTAAAGGTACTCCACAAGTTGGTTCTATTGAAAGAATTTTTAACTACCGCCTATCCCGAGCACGTAGGGTCGTAGAGAATGCTTTTGGAGTAGCTAGTTCTGTATTTCGGGTATTGAGAACACCAATACTACTACAACCTGAGAAGGCTAAGAAAGTAGTTTTAGCAGTTGTATATTTACACAATTTTTTGCGAAAACGATCTACTGTAAATCATATCTACACACCGGCTGGATTCTTAGACAGAGAGGAAAATGGACAATTTATTCCAGGTACATGGAGAAACAACGATGAATTCCGTGGCATGATCCCAATTGGACAGACACCTCGAAGAGCAAATATGACATCAAAAAACATCCGAATCCATCTGGCTGAGCACTTTGCCACTAATGGCTCAATTCCATGGCAAAATGACTACTGATGTTTCCCGGGTACATGTAGAAACGACAATGAATTGGGGGGTTGTTGAATGAAAATGGTTTGTTTTTACATCGTTATTTTTAAAGCTTCCACAAAAAAATGTTTTGTAAATGTACTTACATTATCCATTGTATCGAGTTGGTCATTTGGCATGTCCTTATCACAAAGAAAGCCAAACCATGTGTATGCAAACCATTTTGACTGGTAAACATCTCCTTGACCTGTAACATTAAAACTCAATTCAATTTCTTGCCAATTTAAGTTATATAGTATACTTCCAACTTACAGGGCGTTTCAGAACTCTCGCTACAAACTTTAGGGTATTGTTCCTTAGTCAATAGTATGAGTACTGTAAATCACGTCAAAAATCCAACTAAGTGTACTGTACACAAATGAAAAAATGTTTTAATGATATTACGTAGTAAAATAATGATTAAAAACATACCTGATCCTGTAACTTGACTTTTCTTTTCCCTGGACTTTTCACGTCGGTAAGAGCCCAACAAAGACGTCATCTTCTTTTTCAGTTCTTTCACCGAAATATTCATTGATACCGATATTTCGCGCCACAAGTCTTCTCTCTTGTTTTTATTATAATATTCAGGGTGCTTCGAGTCCCACAATACACGTTTACTTTCATAACACTTCACTAATTCTCTAATCACGTCATGATTATCCATGATGGCAGTTTCGTTGTGCAGGTATTTGGTGGTTTGCAGTGCAGAATTGTCTATTGTACGGTGCGAGGCTGACAGCGGTATCCACTTGACGCACAGCTCGGAGCGAGGCACCTTTGAGCACTGCTCTTTTACCGACAAGCCCACGGCTCGCCACGAATTGTGCGACGCGAACGCCTCATAGTGAGCAACCCCGGTATCCACAGTCCGAGGCAAAGCCGAGCATTCGCCACGAGGCATTCGCTGCGAGCAGCCTCGCACTGTCGATACTAGGCTTAGGATAGCACATCTTAAATCGTTTAAAATTGCCACGATTTCGTTTGCGCGTGTATAGTCAGATAGACCAATCCCAACATACTTATGAGCAAGATGGTTGTCTATGAGGCTGCGCAGTGAATTTGTTAGTGGCTGTGGTCGATCAAAGGTTAATTTAATGAAGCATAAGAATACGTAAAATAGTGAAACCAGTGTTACGCCATTAGGTGCAATTCTGCATACGTGATAAATACGAATTTACAGAACTTTTGTATTGGTGGCGATTGCTCTACATCATATACCTATGTATTCAATTATAGAATTCGACGAAAGTCAGAGTGGTGGTCTAGCGATTGTAAATAGCACGTGACTGACTCCACGGAAACATGAAGTATTTTGGCCACCCATAAGAGATCAAAAACAATTTAACAAACCACTTGTGAATATAGTTAACACTGACACAGAAAATTGGAAAATTTATTCCGTACAGCGATGCTTTTACGAAACAGGTAATTTTGCTCGTGTCATTGACTTATTTGGTTATTGTTATTGTCGCAAGGTGAGTAACAACTAATTCTATTTACTTTTAGATAATTTGTTAATTGCACAAGAGAAGTTGAAGGTAGCGGAGGTTACCTCATCTTCAAACCGATGCTGTGGAAAATGAGAATGGATTGTCCGAGGGATCGGCTAAAAAAAGAAGAACGGCGCATTTATTCAAGTGACGAAGACAACGATGAAGATATTCCTAGACCACCGTGAATTACTCGTAAACCTGTAAAACCTAAACAACCTGCAACTTGTGTTCGCGAAACAGATGAAAGTGAGTAGGTACTTATAATCACCTTGTTGACTTACGTTTAGCAGGTTAGTAAATATGTCACACTCATGTACACTCTATTGTAGATCAATCTTGTATTAATTTGTCCACACCGACCTCTGCATCAACACGAAGTATTGACGCAAATTTTATCAACCAGACACGTGGTAAACTTCTACAGGGATGCTGTTTCATATTATATAGCGTAACTCTTCTAGCATTTCAAGAACAACTTCTCACAACGTTATCGACTCTTAAAGAGCAAAATCTCCAAATATTGACATGGCACGACGCGAAGCGGAGTGCCTTTAACGTTGCAAGTGCTTTAAAGACCAATTATACACGTGTATCTTATAGTATTTTTTATTATACCTGCAGTATAATTTAAAAATATGAAATACAATGAAATCAGATTGACGTTATACTCGAATACATGTCTAATTAAGTTGGCTGGGTGTTCGTAATTTCACGATTGCCATGGAAATGTCACTTGACGTTTGCTTATAAAAATCATCGTCTTTGTGAATAAAACGATTTCCGTTGAAAAAGATAATACCTACACCGTCCATTAAATCGCTTGTTGTAGAATCTAAACAAACGTTGGTAGTATAGCGGATCGCGCCAAAATAATTCAAATTTAAAGAATTCTTTTTAACATTATTACCTATTGTACGTTTTTACCTTGGCTCGTCTTTTGATTATGGGACCATTGTAAACTTAACTGTTGATCTCGCTGCACGAACCATTTGTTACAGTAGTTTCGCCTAATTATTTTGAGGTCTAATGCCCGTATTCACCAACGTTCAATAAGTTCTATTGGTTCCATAAAGTGAAGTTATTGGTTCAATAAAAAAAATCGGTATGCGCCAAACTTCAATAGTGATATTGGTTCCATAAACGAATCCATAAGTTATTGGCCGAAATGTCTTCCATTAAGAGGTTTTGAGGTTATGCTGAATGTTATTAGAATTGTGTCTTACTAGTGTAATTTCTGCTATAAAAATTATTTTCAGTTAAGTATAGATGTTTTTCTTCAACAAAAATTTGTTACAGGAATGGCCTTAATACCAGATATTTTAGATTTATCTTCATCAGATGATGGCTTACCATCGCTACGGACAACGACGTCTCGTCCAGACCTTCTGCGGCACGGCACCTAAGGGCTCCAAAACCACCTGGGAGTTCCGCCTTACTTACCAGGAACAGCACCATCTTGTCTTCCATCAGTACCTAGCGTGTAAGGGTGAGCGTTGCGAGTGTATGGAGAATGATTGCGCTGCGTGATAGTTTGTTAGTTGTGTGATTATTTATTGTATTAATTGTTATCACAAATTAAGTGTTTATATTAAAAATATATCTGTGTACTTACCTACTGAAGTGTCTTCTGGCTAGTTGTATATTTATTGGTCACCTCGGAGATTCGCCGTTGCTCCATCGTTTCACTCCCAAACGGCGTGGCGCCCATATTGTAACCATTGTAGATATTTTGTTAATTGTAATTTCCCCGCGAAATAACCCAGTAACACCCATGAACCAACTTCTCATCGCTTTAAGGTTCTACGCAACTTTGTCGTGGGATTGATTTTTTCTTGCTTTCCGTTTCATTTCGTCATAAGTAGCTTGCAGCTGGGTAATTGTTCGTATACCACTAGTTGAAGTGGCATTATATTTCTCCGCTACTGCAGCCCATGCTCTTTTTTTCCCTCCACAGTCGTTCCGTCGGTTTTCTTGTTATCAATTATTGATTTGAAAGGTTTGATGTGCGATAATAATGTTTCTCTTTCAAGCTCAGTATAATTTTTTGCTCGTTGTCTTTTTCTCTTTATTTTCCATCTCACAATTTATTTTTTCCATCTTGCTTTCTCCATCGCACAATTTTTTTCCACTTCACAGTTTATATCAAAATTAAAATGTTCGGGGAATGACCGAATTGACAGCATGGATTGACAGTTATTGCTCAGTGTTGCCACCAGTAACATAAAAGTAACTATTTGTCTCTATAAATCGACCAATAGTTATTGGTCTTCGGTTTTCAGTTGGGGAATACCGAATAAAGTTATGGAACCAAATAGCTATTGACAGATTTATTGAAGGATTGTGAATACGGGCATAAATTGTAACGGTTTTAATTCTTCTCACCGTTCATTTTCTCTATGCTACGGATTCTTACAGGCCGATATTAGGTTACGCCACTGGCATATTGCAAATTGGGAATATTTTCTATGTTTTTGCGCATGTGCGTTACTCCACCGACACGTATTAAGCGGTGAATATTTCATTCATTGGTGCTTGCTTTAAAAACGAACAGGTGTGATGGCGTCTTGGAAAATTTTCATGGGCATAATATAGTTACATATCGCCGAATTGCGGATTTTCGAGTCCATGAATAATCGATGTTTTGGAGATTGGTTTGTTAGACCATTTTATCCATTTACCGTTACGGGATCTGAATACATTTGCTTGACGTAAGTAACATCTGCGTATCATTTCTATTGTCACAGCCACGCTGTTCTTTTAGATAACGCACCTGTTCTTCGCATCACCTAAGCCAGAGCTTTGATTGCCGATAACCTCGAGGCATCTCGTTAATTAACGAGTTTTAAAAAGCCCTCTTTTTAATTAAGAGGTATGCTTAAATCTTGGCCAAAAACCAGTATTAATTCCGACATTGTTTTAGGGTTTTACTTTTCCTGTTTTTTTTGTATCGCACGTAATTATCTCATGTCAAACTTGTGGTCACGCATGGTTGGTTTCCCACTGCTGGACCTTATTGTCATCCGATTGTCCACCTAGAGGCCGATTGTAGCGGTTATTACCCGAGCTGAGGGCTCCCGGATATCCTGAGATTTGTAACCACGGGGGTGGACAACCGACACGAAGAATCTTAAGGGGAGCAGGAACACCACGTAGCCGCCACGTTTCCGGAGAACGGTGAAATAAACTTAGCCTTTCGATATTAGTACTATTTGCCATTGCATAGGCACTCCTATTGTTAATCTTAAGCGAAGGGTTACGCTCGCATCTGGGGCACTTTACCGATCGGAGGTACAAAGTAAGGGGATAGGAATAATTGGTACATTTACGGGTCATACTGCTGTGGATCCCGTTGAATTTGTAAGCGCATGAGTACTCATACCGCCTTGTTAACTAAGCAACCCCGTACCACGTCATTAAAGTGTTTAGCTTATAATTAATGCCTAGAACTATCCATTTATGCAACACCGTTTAATCCAGGCTGCTTGGCCACTGCCGACCTAACTATAAAAAGGGAAAAGCAAGGGTGGGAAGACCATTTTGTTTGCGGATAGACTACTATTTGGGAAGGGTGGGTTAATTAACCCACGGGCTTCGCATCGGTTGCCGCTCACTAATTTTTGCATGTGATATTACCTGTGGGTTAGTCATTAGTTGTTATATATATATATATCTACTTTAGTAGTCGATTTTATACATATTTATTGTTACTTGTTATACTGTGTGTTGAGGTACCTTAAATTGATTCTGTGATTATTTGCATGTGTAATTGCAATACTGTTGGTTACAAATTATACTATCACCGTTGAAGTTACCTCCAGTGTTTTGGATTATTGCTCGTTCCTACAGGGTATTTATTGCCCTGCAGTGGTATCAACCTTCCTTGTTCAGGTTGAACCGAAGACCTTCTCTAGTAGTGAACAAGGTGGCGCCCATTTATTGTTTGAGGTGGTAAGTCAAATCGTTAGTCCAACGCCCTACCCTGAGTATTATAGTTTCGTGTGGTTTAATTTAATTGAGCCGCTAGCTGAGGCATCCCCTTTATTTAACGTGGGGTTTGTAAATCAGCGCCACTCAAACTTAGCGTTACATAAATTGGCGATCCAACGTCTAGGCCGAGATTTGACTTACTAAATTTCTTCTTTATTAATTCTCACTGGAGGTTTAGGGACTGTAGGGGTATTTATAATTTTTTTCTACAGGTATTTATTAACTTTACAATATTTTGGGTAACAATTTTTTGTGTGGGGAATATTGCATGGTAATTATTAAGGGTGAAGAATTTTATTATTCCATTTTCGTAAGGAAGTATTTTGTAAATGATTTTCTATATTTTACGGGGTTTAAATTTTCCAAAACAAATAAAAAAAAAAATTTTTTTTTGTCACAACCATTCAACTTATTACAAAATGGCTGCTCTCGATATTAATCGATTGCGAGACAAGGAACTTGAATATGAAATTAAGGTTCGGGGGGGAGAAATAAGTCGTACCGTTGAGGAGAATCGCAAGATGCTTCGTAAACTAATTGAAGTTGAGAAATCCGTGGATTTCGAAATGCCAAAATACCCGTTTACCTTTTCTGAAGATTTGGTTGCACTTACTGAATTGCTTTATAATATCCAATCTAAAGTAGATTCTTTTGAGGACGCTGTGGGAGGGGGAACTTACTTGTCCATCATGGCATTGCTTATGCATGCTGACCAACGACTAAATAGGACCAAACTTCGCTTGACACTTACCACAGAAGAGGCTGAGAAACTTAAACCTCTACAGCTTTCGTTTAGACAAATCAAAATGTTATTGGACCTTAAAGCTTTTAAGTTCAATGAAACGCTAGCACCTCATGCACCTTTATCCACTTCTAGTCCAATAGTAGTGACGCCTAGTGCGCTACCAAAATTTTCAGGAGATGGGAAGGGAGATACACTTAACACTTTTCTTGATAAAGTCGAACGCATGGCTAGGGCCAGAGGGGTTGATCATGTCACTTTATTTGAGACCGCGTATGACCTTTTTGAAGGTGCAGCTAGTCTCTGGTACAATGTTAATTCATCCAAAGCGAATAGTTGGGAGGAGTTGGTAACTCTATTACAAGCTGCGTTTTTGCCACCACATTACCAAGACGACTTGTTGGACGAAATTAAAGTCAGACTGCAAGGACCCTACGAAAAAGTTGATGTGTATTTTGCCATCATGCAAGGACTTTTTACTAGACTTAGACAACCACCTTCTGAACAGGATCAAGTACGAATCATTCGACGGAACTTGCTTCCTTTTTATTTGTCTAAATTGGGACCACATGTACCCAATACCCTTGATGATCTTTTAACCGAATGCCATCGCTTCGATAACATTAAGCAGGATCTTGCTAGACATGAAGCCCTGCGGAATCATTCGCAACTACCACTATTAGAACCAGGGTTTGCATATACTTCTTCTTCACGACGACCGCCTGAGCGAACACCAGTTCACGCTGTAGGTTCCCAAGCAAATAACACCGCACCTTGCTGGAATTGTGAACGATTAGGTCACATTAGCTCCGAGTGTCCTGAACCTAGACAATTATTTTGTTATCGCTGTGGATCTAAAGGCACCACCACTCGAAATTGCGGCGTGTGTGCGGGAAACGGCGTGAGAAGACTTCAATGAGTCGCCGTGAGTCTTCTCTATCCAAGGCGACACCCACTCGTTCCGATATGTCCATCAAGCTTGATTTTCTTATTCAACATCTTGAGAAAGACAACCGACCTTACGTCGACGTTCAAATTTCTGGAACTACTTTTCTGGGACTTTTGGATTCGGGTGCGTCACGCTCGATCATCGGTCCAAATATGTTTGCTGACTTACAACGATTAAATCTACGTTTTGTTAACCAAATTTCCACGTGTACTGTAGCTGATGGGACTGCTTCACAAGCTATCGGTTATGTCATAGCTCCTGTCACTCTAAAATCCAGGACCATTATTTTAAACTTATTAGTTATGCCTGCCTTATGTCAAGATTTAATTCTGGGCATAGATTTTTGGAATCGTATGGGGATTATTCCTAATATTACCGACAATTGTTGGCATTTTTCTTCCGAAGCACCGGTAGTTCATTTATCCGGCATTGTCGAAGGACCGCTTTTGACACCAGACCAACGACACGCTTTGAATAGGTTACTGAACGATAAGTTCCAGGCTATGGGAAATTCACTCGGCTTAACCACAGTAGGAAATCATGAAATTACGCTTTCATCTGACGTAACTCCCATTAAGCAACGGTATTATCCTGTGAGTCCAGCCAAGCAAAAACTCCTTAATCGGGAGATTGACCAAATGCTCGAACAGGGGATTATCGAACCATCAAAAAGTGGATGGGCCTCACCGGTATGCTTGATACCCAAAAAAGATGGATCTTATCGATTCTGCGTCGATTATAGGAAATTGAATTCTCTCACATTAAAAGACGCTTATCCTTTACCATATATTTCCACGATTCTGGAACA